AGTCTCTAGAGACCCAGACTCATACAGGAGAAGCAGGACTGTCTGTCATCGGTCAGAACCCTAGGGCAGCTTTCTCTCTGAGGGGCTTGCAGCGATTACAGGGACACTGAGAAGCAGAGCCTCTGAAGGCAAGACTGAGAGCAGCCATAACTGCTAGCCCCGCCCTGTTGATCCCATGGGACCTGCCCCGCCCAAGCCCTGCAGGGAGGCTTTTGCTGGATAGCCGCAGGCAAAGGCTAGATTAGCACCTCCCTAGAGATCCAGGAGCCAGGAAGCCCAGAGGTCAGAGTGGGACCATCCAGTTTGCAGCTCCGTGGAACCATAAAGGACACACTCAGGGGGCAGACTCAGTGAGCACCAAAGCCCCATTGAAGCAAGTCTTGCCCCAGAGGGGTGTCTCCAGCACAGAAGTTCTCCCACTGCAGACACAGCTGATTCTCACAGCCAATTGGCCTGGAGGTCAATTCCTCCCAGGGATAACTACAACAATCAAGGCTTAATTACAACAAGACTGTGCACAAAGCCCACAAGGGGGTGCACCAAGAGTGTCTACCTCAGGTAATTGGGACACTTAGCACAGAAAGGCACTCTATCGACACAGCGAAGCATAAAAAATGTCAAGACAAAGAAACAGGACACAAACGACAGAAATGGAGGAAAGCAAACTGCTGGATATAGAGTTCAAAACCACACTTTTAAGGTCTTTAAAGAACTGTCTAGAAGCCGCCGATAAATTTAATAAGGCCCTCGAAAAGACTGGTGAGACTGCCGATAAATGTAGTGAGATCTTCAAGAAGACTGGTGAGACCACCAATAAATGTAGTGAGATCTTCAAGAAATCTATTGAAACCCTCGATGTTGTGATAAAGAACCAACTAGAAATTAAGCATACACTGACTGAAATAAGGAATATTATACAGACTCCCAACAGCAGACCAGAGGATCGCAAGAATCAAGTCAAAGATGTGAAATACGAAGAAGCAAAAAACACACAACCGGAAAAGCAAAATGAAAAAAGAATCCAAAAATACGAAGATAGTGTAAGGAGCCTCTGGGACAGCTTCAAGCATACCAACATCCGAATTATAGGGGTGCCAGAAGAAGAGAGAGAGCAAGATATTGAAAACCTATTTGAAGAAATAATGACAGAAAACTTCCCCCACCTGGTGAAAGAAATAGACTTCCAAGTCCAGGAAGCGCAGAGAACTCCAAACAAAAGGAATCCAAAGAGGACCACACCAAGACACATCATAATTAAAATGCCAAGAGCAAAAGACAAAGAGAGAATCTTAAAAGCAGCAAGAGAAAGATAGTCAGTTACCTACAAGGGAGTACCCATACGACTGTCAGCTGATTTCTCAACAGAAACTTTGCAGGCCAGAAGGGAGTGGCAAGAAATATTCAAAGTGATGAATAGCAAGAACCTACAACCAAGACTACTTTATCCAGCACAGCTATCATTCAGAATTGAAGGTCAGATAAAGAGCTTCACAGATAAGAAAAAGCTAAAGGAGTTCACCACCACCAAACCAGTATTATATGAAATGCTGAAAGGTATCCTTTAAGAAGAGGAAGAAGAAGAAAAAGGTAAAGATACAAATTATGACCAACAAATACACATCTATCAACAAGTGAATCTAAAAATCAAGTGAATAAATAATCTGATGAACAGTATGAACTGGTGATTGTAATAGAGTCAGGGACATAGAAAGGGAATGGACTGACTATTCTTGGGTGGGGGAAAGGGGCGTGGGGAGTGCGGGAAGAGATTGGACAATAATCGTGCACCTATGGATGAGGACAGTTGTGGGGAGTGAGGGCGGAGGGTGGGGTGGGAACTGGGTGGAGGGGAGTTATGGTGGGAAAAAAGAGGACCCAATGTAATAATCTGAACAATAAAGATTTAATTAAAAAAATCTAATTTATGGTACAGGTTTTGAAAACTATTATATATGTGCCAAAGATAAAACTTTCTAATTTATGTTTTTTAAATATGTGTTAAAATTTTGAAAAACTATTTAATAGAGTGAAAAAATATATTCCAATGTAACTTATTTGGTAGTATTATAATAAACTCAAAACTAGCTATAAAAAAAAATAAATAAAAAAGAAAAAAAGAAAAAAGCATTTTAAGTATAATGTTATCAAAACTGTATAACATAGTATGATATCACAAACTGTAGGAATATTAAAAATCTGCCAATAACAGAATTACTACTATTATATTTTAAAATATTATTTTTCAGGTTCTATTTTTCTTAATCAGTTTATGTTGTTCATTATATTCCACAAAGGAGTGAGGTCATGTGATGTTTATCTTTCTCCAACTGGCTTATTTTGCTTAGCTTGATGCTCAGAGCTGGTTCTCTGGCGCAGGCCCCATCCGTTCCTGACCCTCCACAGGGTCTGGGGTTTCAGGTTCTGGAGGAACTAAGAAGCCACGTCTGCTCTGGGGATGATCCGGCCGTACACCTCTGTGTTTGGCTTTAGTAATTCCTGTCAAAGAAAGACGAGATCTCTGAGCCCTGCAGCCTTCTCAGAACAAGTGCCATGTTTCACAGACCCCATGGGGGCTGACTGTCCCTGGGCACCTTCTCCTCCACCCTCTGTTATCACTTTTCACTGCCCTTTCCTGAGCCCGGAAGCATACTCAGGGCTGGGCTGGAGGCAGGTCCTGGGGCTCCTGGCACCTGCAGGACAGAACTTTCATAACCCACACTTACCTCATAGATGGGGCCGGCTGTCCTGGGGTCAGGTAGGGGGCCCTGTGCAGTGGGAGAGAGGGCATCAGAGGACAGGAAGGGAGGGTTTTCTCTGCAGGACTGACACTCTGCCTTCTGAGCACCTGTCTTCACACCTGTAGCCCAGCACCCCAATTTCAGCCCACACTGCACCCCCTCACTCTTGTTTGCCTGGGACCCTGACTGGTGTTCCCAGTGCCCATTGTGCTCCATGCTGGACTCTAGGGTTCTCTTTAGGCCCAGTGAGGAACCCAGGGCAGACTCAGAATGGGGCAGGGCTGGTCCACCCCTGATTGTGGGCCCCTCTAGGCCACTCAGGGTTCCCCTTGTGCTGGCTGTTCTGGAGAAGGGGTCTGTGCTGTGTTGCGAGGTTGGATGGTGCCCCTGCCCTGAGCATGGGTTGCTCAGGCCCTGGGTGAGGGAACAAGGAAGGGATGGACTTACCGGGAAGGCAGAGGTTCCAGAGGGACCCTGGCCTGGGAGCAGAGACAGGAGGAGTTAGCACCCAGGGGGGAAGAAGCTTTTGCATGTTCTTCCAGGAGTGGGTGGTTCTTTAGCTCCCAAGGGCCAGGGGTGAAGGGTCCCAGGGCAAGACCCTCTGGCCATTTCAGGGTCCAGTGAGGGAGAGGTGGTGACACATGACACAGCCTTCAGGTCAGGGTTGACTGGCGATTAGGGGTCCCCTGTGCAGAGTGGTGATGAGAATCCCCCTTGAAGCCCAGGGAAGGGTCAGAGCATGAGGGACCAGGGCAGGGGTGGACACTGTGGGGCAGGCCCAGGGGTTCCAGGATGAACAGACACTCACCAGGGGTGGCTGCTGGAGGTGGGTGCTCTTGGAGGCCATGGCAGTCACTGGCCCTGGGAAAGGTCAGACTTACTTGTGAGGGGTGCAGGGGAGCTTTGGTGTCACAACAGGGGGCAAGGAGGGTCTCCTTTCCCAGAAGAGGGTGGAGGCCTCTCTCCACTGTTTAGAGGGGATGGGTCCAGGAGAGGGGAACTGAGGCAAGGCCTTCAGGATCCACGGGTGACCTGGGCCCACAGGGCAAGGACCCACAGGCAGATGAGGGTCTGGGAGGAGTTACCAGGGAAGGGACTGAGGACCCAGGACAGGAATCCACCCTGAGGGTCTGACTTAGTGGAAAGGTCAAGGCCTCAGGGGGCAGCAGTGCCAGCCTCATGTAGCATTCGGATGAGCGTGGTGCTCTGCTGTAGCCAGACCCGCCCCTCAGGCCTACAGAGCTACACTGTGACCATGGCCTTTCCTGTCTCCATCCACCTGAACTAGAGGCAAAATCCACACCACAGGCTCTGCTGTCCTTTGGAGGCCAGGCCTCCCATCTCACAGGTCAGGATTGTGGTTACCAAACTGGCTTCATGGAGGCATTTGTCCCAACCCTATCTGTCCAGGCTCTTCCACCCTCAGCTGTGTGGCCTTGGCCAGGATGACTTTCAGACCCTGAGGCAGCCCATCCCCTCACCTGGGAGGGTGGACTTAGATAAGCAACAGGAGGTGCCTTACTGAGCACTTACTACCTGCCGGCACCGCTGCAGGTGTGTGGAGGGAACCAGGACAATCCTGAGGGCACAGTTCCTTAATCGTGCCTCATTTATAAGTGAGGAAGCTGTTGAGGAAACCACCCTGGTCAGCAGCTGGTGAGGGAGGAGCTAGATAGAGGGAGTTAGGGGCCTCCATGGGGAAGCTGGAGGCCACAGGGAGCCGGCCCAGAACCCTCTGAAGACAGGGTCTTTGTCCTCCTGGCCTGGGCTCCGCTGGGGGGCAGCCTGGGTCAGGGGACAGGATTAGGGTGAGGGTGAAGGAAATGCCATGGTACCTCCTAGTCCTCCTGAGGTACAGGAAATAGCCCAGGGAGGCCCCCAGAGCCACCACGACGAGGACCCCGATCACGCTGCCAATGATGGTCCCCACAGAGTAGCCCTTGTAGTTTTGTTCTGCTGAAAGGAGAAGGGAAAGGGGGCGGGGTGAAGGCTCAAGTCCACTCAGGGGAAGCCAGGAGGGGCCTTGCAGGAGGAGGCCTGGCAGGGGGAGGAAGGTGCTGCCACCTGGTCTGTGCTGTTTGGGAGTGTCAGTCCTCCTGACACCCCACTTCTGGCAGTTGCATCATTCTCTGTTTTGCACATTTGAAACCTTCCATTTGCTCTACCTTTGCATGTACTCTCACACCCACCGTTCCCATGTCCTGGTATTTTCCTCTTACCTCCTCTTTCCCTCACATATTCTGTCTCTTACCCCTGTTTCTTCTTTTCCATTACTAAGGACAGTCTTAGGGGGCACCTTACCTGTCAACTCACTGCTGATGTGTAATAAAAATGTGCTGAATGTTTTTGATGATCAACAGGGTGGGAAACACTCTACTTTCATGTCATCTGATCCTTTCACCCCCACGAGGGACGGGGGTGTCACCCCCATGAGCACAAACAGAATCAGGGATGGGAGGTGCTTAATAAATGGCTGATCACCAAATCACAGAATTGGTGAATGATAAATGACATTTTCACTGAGTTCCGTTTGACTTTATAGCCACTGACAACAGCGTTTATAAAAATAACAATAATAATTGGTACACTGACTGAGTCCTGACTGAGCATGACCCTGTCTGTGGGCTTTATTTTTATTAACCTCACAAGAAATATCCTAACAACGGTGTTTAGGTCCAGTTGTTTTTTTTCCAGTTTAAAGATGAGGAAACAGGCTCAGGTGGGTGAGAGCCTTCCCTGTGGTCAGACAGCTTATACCCATAGAACCGAGACAACGACGAGATTAGTCTAATTCTGGGGTCCGTACCCATGTGCTCTATAGGCTCTGAAGGAGGCTCCCACCTCCTCAAGGCTTTCATCCATCTCACCCCCTTTCCCATGAAATATACAAAGGCAAGTGGGAGAGGTGGAGAGTCACTTACATTGCACATCCAACCTGAGGGGCTCACTTATGCTGGAACTGACAGGGTTGAAGACCTCACACTGATAACCCCCAGCGTCCTCCCTCCTTACGGGGTCTATGGTGAGGGTGCTCTTGTCCTGGGACAGCATCATCCTGTCCATGAGCAGGAGATTCTGGTTATTGAAGAGCCACCGGATGGAGATTCCCTTGTTATTTGTGAGGCAGGTCAGGACCACGGCGTCCTTATGCTCTGTGACTGTGGCATTGCTGGCTCGGATGGAGGGCTTTCCCACGGGCTCTGTGGAGAAACAGAGGAGGTGACTGACTGAGAGTGGGCTCCTTCCTCAGAGATGTCAGCCACTCACAGCCCACAGTGATTTCTGTACAGGTCTGCCGGAAGCCGGTCCATCCTTGCTGCTTGACACAGTCGTGCAGGAAAGAAACATCTGCACAGCATATGTTTCAAGGGACCTGGCATATATAGCATATTGTTCTTAATATGTTTGCTCTCCTTAGTGCCATGTGTTTTAACCAAGGTTACCTCTCTGAGAAAGGTTGTTTCCCCAGGTGGGGATCTTTCCCTGAGGTTAGGGAGGGGATACAACCCCTTAATTAAGTGCCAGGTGGGTAGTTAAGCTACATAATCTTTACTCCCTGGAATGGAGATAAGAAACGCCCTAACCTTTGTAATAGAAATTGACAGGATTAAAATCGGCTGGTATAAATACGGATGTAAGAAGACAATAATCATCAGATCCTCATCAGATCCTCATCACATCCTCATCAGATCCTCATCAGCTCCTAACCAGAACCTAGCGAGAGAACATGGCAAAAGAACCTGGATAGAACCTTGCTACAGAACCTGGCGATCAAACCTGGCTGGAGAACCTGGAGAAGCTGGATGGAGAACCTAGCAAGAGAACCTGTACACAGAACTTGGCTGGAGATCTTGGACAGAACTTGGCTGGAGATCCTGGAGGGAGAACCTCGCTATGCTGATGAACTGAACCCTGTCTCCATGTCATTCCTTCTTCGCCGACTCCGTCCACACCTTTGGGGATCCCTGGACCCGTTGGGGTTGGACCCCAACACAGGTCACCAGAGGAGGACTCTGACCTCTGCAGGGTGAGGACCTTTGTTCAGGTGACAGTCTGTAAGGAGAGGGCTATACCTCCCTCTTCTCTCCGGATCACCTCAGGATGACCCCTGATCTGTCTCCCTGGACATCTGAGGTATTAGCACCGGGAGCCTTAGACCATGTGTCCAGCATCTTCATCATCAGGTGGCATTTTCCACCCATTGACTTTTGTTTGACTCTTTTCCAGACCTTTCTATAACTTTCTAAATAATATTACCCCCTCTCTAGTATAGTGGCTATTTGTAGAGATGGGAAGGCATTTCCCTTTTTAAAAATAATTATAGAGAGTATAGCCCAGCCAGTCTTAATGACCTTAGGACCTGAGAAGTTTCAATATAAAGGATTTCTCAGTCTGATATGACTTTCA